TAATGTTCTCTAAGGGTTCTGATGTTCTGTAAGGTTTCTGATGTTCTAATGTTCTCTAAGGGTTCTGATGTTCTGTAAGGGTTCTGATAAGATGTTCTGTAAGGGTCCTGGGCTGGTCTGATGTGTGGACTGCAGAGCCAGCGCTCCCTGTTTTTTTTTTAATTTTTTAGATCTTTTTATTAACAACATATAAACACAGAACACCGCTGCGGCTGAGGCTGCCAGCGCTTGCTTTTTTCTTTTTTCTGACCTGTCAATCAATCCAGTAGGCGTGTCAGCAAATGACCAATCGGCGACCTCAATTTGTCCCGAAGGTAAACGCCCCTTGTTTGTGAAGCTGCTCTGCAGCTGCTCGGGGTGGACGCTGGAGTCTGAACCCTCTGCGTACAGTACACGTGTACGTACGCGTGAACGGACGTACGCGGCAGTATACTGGAGGCTTATGGGTTCTGATGTTAAGATGTTCTTATGTTCTATAAGGGTTCTGATGTTCTCTATGGGTTCTGATGTTAAGATGTTCTGATGTTGTGTAAGGGTTCTGATTTTAGTTTGTGACTTGTTTTTATTCTGATCGGTCATTTGATCCGATTCTTTATGTCCATGTAAACGTATCTAGAGTGTGGGGTTCGAGTTAAAAAGCTGAGCTAAGCTAGATACATATGCAGACTGACCTGTCAGTCCTCACAGTAGGGGCTCGTTAGTGTCTTTGTTAGTCTGACTAGTTATGGTTACATGGACATAAGTAATCGGATCAAACGGCCGTTTGGAATAAAAATGCGTCATGTAAACACCCCGTCCAGGTTATTTTTTGTTTATTCAGCGTAATCCGAAATAATTAGTAAATGTGTATTACCCACGTAGTAAATGTGTATTACCCGCGTAATAACTGTTGTCTGAAGGTTTCCAAGTTCTATGACCTCACTGACTGACTTTTGACTCTGTCTGTTTTTTTGTTGTTGTTTTTTTTTTTACCCAGAATGCCCTCTGAGGCTCAGGAGCCTCGAGACAGAGGACCGCCCCCTCCCGTCACTCGGGCTGGACGCAGCGCTCATCTGGCCAAGGCCAAAGCCTCTAGCCCCGCCCTTGAGAGGCGGCCCCGCGGCCGGCCGAGAAAGGATGGAAGCAACGGGCGCTCGGCTCCGCCCACTCCCTCTCTTCCTCCACCTCCCCCACTGCCTAAATCCAGGAAAAAGTAAGTACCGGGACATCAAAGTACTTGTTCTCTTTGTACGTGAACCTGAAGAACTGGTCTGACCTGAGTGTGGGTCTCATTTCTTTCTTGGTTTTGTATTAACAGTCTTTGACCGGTCTTCAGAACCATCAGAGGTTCTGCTGGTGGTTCTTCTGTCAGAAATTTACTCAGACGTGGTTTTTGACCTCAGGTGAAAATAACAGCGGGGCTTGGCCTGCAGGGGGATGATGTCACTGGTCCGACAGCAGAAAGGAGAATGTTTAGAAATGAAATCTGGTTCTAGTCAGTTTCCCCCAGATAATTGAACTTCTCACCCTGTCTGAATTATCAGTAATGGCTTCATCCTAACCATCCACACGTCTGTTAGATCCCATCCCGTCCAGGCATTTAGAGACGTATTTTCCTTAATAACCACGTCTTGGATCTGCTTAATTTGTCTCCAATAAACAGTTACGTACCACAGAGCTTTAAGATTGCTGTAATTAAACCTTTACTTAAGAAACATAACCTTGACTCAGGAGTCCTGGCCAACTATAGATCTATATCTAATCTAACTTTCATCTAAAAAATTTTAGAGAAACTAGTTTCAGGTCAGTTATGTGAACATCTACAAAGAAATAATCTGAAGAGTTTCAGTCAGGGTTTAGAGCTCACCACAGAACTGAATCTGCACTGGTGAAAGTCACTAATGATATTCTCATGGCCTCAGACAATGGACTTGTGTCTCTACTGGTCCTGTTAGACCTCAGTGCTGCATTTGATGCAGTTGATCACAATATTTTACTACAGAGACTTGAATATGATGTTGGGATTACAGGAACGGCTCAGACACATCTGAGCTGTGCGCTTGTACCGACAGTTTTCAAGCGGGGGGGGTGTGTTCAGTAGGGGTGTAACAGTACGCTAAAATCACAGTTCGGTTCAGTTTCGGTACCAAAAAAGACAAAATAAAGACTTACAAAACGTTTATTTTGAAAATATGCCAAATAAACAATACGTTTGTATAAAAATAAATCAAAGCAACCCATTTGGACGATATTTTAAATAAACGGCACTCTTTACAATTAATAAATTATACTAACAATAATAAAAATCTGGAACAGAGACTTGTCCTCAGCTGCGCAGCGCGCTGTTTAAACCAACAGTGTTGGTTTAAACTCTCTCTCTCTCTCTCTCTCTCTCTCTCTCTCTCTCTCTCTATCTATCTATCTCTATCTCTATCTCTCTCTCTGTCCGTAAAGGTTATGAACAGAATCTGTGACAATGGGCAGCCCTGGCGGAGTCCAGCTCCCACCCTGAAGGGGTCCAACTTACTACCAGCAATGCAAACCAAATTTTCGCACCAATTGTATAGGGATCGAACAGCCCGTAACAATGGACCCCCGATGTCCACTTGATGTTGCAAAGGCATGTCAACCAAGACAGCCGCACAACACCCAGAGCCTTAAGGAAATCGGGGAGATTCTCATCCATCCCCGGAGCCCTTTCGCCTCGGAGGTTTTTTATTGCCTCGGCGACCTCAGCCATGGTTATGGACAGACCAACCCCCAAGTCCCCCTATTTAGCTTTCTCCATGGAAGACAGGTAGCGTACCTTTTGGTTCACAGAACTTATTTATTCTCACTGCAAACGTCACTGAGTCGGGACCCAATCAGACTTTTGAGAATTCACACAACCGGTGAAAACCTGATCGGACCTGTGAAATGGTTTTCTTTAAAAATGTTCTTTGAGCTGAATCCCATCCAAGACCAGAACCAAAAGTCCTGTTTTTGGTCGTTGCCATGGCAACTGCATCGGCCAACAGGACTGGCTCTGATCAAATGACCTTTTTGTGTTCTTGCAGGGGGAGGAGCCGAGGGCGGGCACAGGTGGTTGATGAAGAGAGCACGGACACTGCAGAGAAGAGCCGGCCTCAAAGAACAGGTGAGGTTGAGCAGAGGCTCCACCCACACCTGTGCACTTCTTGTCTCACGGGGGTTCAAACAGAACCCAGAGCTGCCTTTAACAAAGGGTTTAATTAGTTAATTGATTCAAACTATGATTTTACAACAAAAACTCGTTTATTTTTGTTTAGTTTGTTTAGCTCTTGGATGTTTTTACAGCATCCACCATTAAAAGGTAATAAAATAATTAAAGGTAATAATTAATAATGTATTAAATAGTAATGACACTACTAAATACTGATAAAGTTATAGTAATGGGTGATTTCAATATTCATGTAGGTGTTGAAAGTGATAGCTCAAGCATAGCCTTTAAAAATGTAATTGAATCAATTGGTTTGACCCAAAATGTCCGCACATCTACTCATTCTCCTCATCACACTTGATATGGTTTTGACTTATGGCGTATAGATTAAGGACTTAATAATACATCCTCAAACTCCTGTTCTGTCTGACCATTTTTAATAATCTTTGAGTTTACATTAAATGACTACACAGTCACTG